GGGCCCAGGGTCGATTTTTGACTTTTTGGAAAAAACTTTAGAAAACTTATTTTTATGCATTAGAATTTGTTTATTTAGCATTCATTGATGTAATTAAGTAACTTGTGGCTAGATACGAGCGAATTGGTGGTGAAATCACGAGGTAAAGCTATAGTTGAGGCTTGAACTGTGTACGAGGCATCGAGGTAAGTGTTTGGTCTAACCTTAGCTTGAAGGAATAGGAGTGTGGTCTTGTATGCTATGTGTTATGTGTTGAGTACGACGTATAGGCATGGTGACGAGTATCTGTACGTTGGTGTCAAGCATGCCTGTGAGTCTTATGTTGTGATTAATGTGACTTCGTTTGTACGGTTCATGTTTAATGTGTTGATTGCTATCGTTGAGCAAGGTTGTGGAAAGAATATTGGTATTTGTATATTGAAGAGCGTTGTCTCAAGTTGTAAAATGAATTGTGGAAGTGTAATTGGTAATTGAACCTTGTAGAGCATTGGCTCAATTTGTGAACCAAGTTAGTGAGGTAAATGTGAAAATGAGAAGAGAATTGTGGTATTTATCCCTTGCCGGGACGTTGTGGTTTTAAGTGTTGTTCCCTTGCCGGGATGTTGTGGTTTTGCTATTGTTCCCTTGCCGGAATTTTTATTATGATTCCTTTATTCCTTGCCCTTATTGTTTGTGTTTGTTGTTTGGGTGAGGAAGAGTGTAAAGCACGAAGGGTGATGTCGTGCATTGTTTTGGCGAGAAAGTGTTAAAGCACGAAGGGTGATGCCGTGTATTATTATCATTATTTGTGAGGAAGAGTGTAAAGCACGAAGGGTGATGCCGTGCCGCACGATGTACCATTTCGTACCAATTATATTGATATTATGATGAGGACGAGAGTAAAAGCACGAAGGGTGATGCCTTGCATTTTATATTGATTTTATGGTGAGGACGAGAGTAAAAGCACGAAGGGTGATGACATGCACTTGTTTGATTTCTGATTCCTGTTAATAATTGAATTGTGGTGTTCCATATATTTAGCTGCTATTCTCCTGTTGCTATTTGGTGTTTCCCCGCAGCATGTTTCCCCCTCCCATCCTTGATTTTATATGTTTCTGCTTTTATTTTTCTGTTGTACATTATTTATCTGCACAGGTTTACTTGGTAGTCTGGTCCTAGCCTCGCCACTACTTCGCCGAGGTTAGGTTAGGCACTTACTAGCACATGGGGTTGGTTGTGCTGATACTACACTTTGCACTCTTTTGTGCAGATCCCAGTGCTGTAGATTACAGACCGTAGTGAGATTGCTGTTTCGTGTTCATCAGGCGACCCGAGATAGTCCTGCAGGCGTCCACAGGCCTTGGCGTCTCCTCCTAGCTATTTTTCCTGTTTCTTTCTTGTATTTCCAGAGACAGTGTTGTATTATTACTTTCAGACCTTTATTTGTAGTACTCTTAGACAGTCTGTGAAGTTGTGACACCAGTCTTGGGTAGATTGATATGGATTGATATTGGTAGCACTATTGAAATTTTAAATTTAGTCTTCTGCCTATTAAATTTTGTTGTTTGTTAATTATTGGTTCTAAATTGTTACTGAATTAAAAATGGAAACCAGGTGAATAATTCAATTGGTTGGCTTGCCTACCTTTCACTAGTAGGCGCCATCACGACTCTCAAGGGTGGAAAATCCGGGTCGTGACAGGGCTGTATGTATATGGATCGGGTTGCACACTGCAATGAGCCTTAGGGCTGTATATTTATATATTATGGAATCGAGTTGCACGCCGTCGTAATATACTTGGGCTGAAGGAGCCCCTCTAGAGTCTGTACATCCTCAGTGAGCGCATGTACCTATTAAGTGTGAGTGTCGATGGCTGAGAGCTGGGTGATGAGCTATTGAGAAAGACTGAGTGACCGTTGCCCTAAGAGGCTGTATTTGCTTTCATTTTTGTTGCACATAGCTGCTATATGTCGCTATTTTGAAACTTCTAAACTAATTTGACTTAAATTGCTGGATTTGAAAGCATGTCTACTTTCTTGTTGAGATTACTGAAAATGAACTATAATTGTGTAGCTCGTCACTATCTTTTATTTCTTATTTATTATTGTTACTTACTGAGTTGGTTATACTCACGCTATACCCTGCACTTCGTGTGCAGATCCAGGTATTTCCGGATACGGTGGGCATTGATATCGTGCACGGTTCGCAGTCCTTGTTCCTCCTTTCTTATCTTTTTCTTTATTTGTATTTTGGTACAGACTCTCGTTGATATTTCTTTTCTACACTGGTGTTGTATAGATGCTCATGAGCTCAGTGACACCCTGATTTGGGAGTTATGTTTCCGCACTTGTGTTTTGATTTTTACCCCGTTTTTATGAAAACACTGGTTATTCAAAATTTCCTAATTCATTTTATGTTAAACGTTGGAAGTAATTTGGAAATATCGTCTTGCATAGTACCACGATAGACGTTATCACGACGGGTTAGAATTTGGGTGCGAGAAAATTGAAAGGTCACTGCTAAAACATAAAAAGAGTATCAAAAGCAAATAGCATCAAATATAAATAGAAACTAGAAAACCCAGTGATTAAAAAGGAAAGAGGAGGAAGAAGAAGATTAAGAATTCACCTCAGACCTAAAAAGAGGCCGGCGGAGAAAAGCTGAAAAAGAATCATATAAAGAGAGAGAAATCAACTAAATTTAAAGCAAAGTTTCAATGGATTCTTCCAGAATTAATGTTTGTATCACAGTAGTGTAGGAGGGTTAGAAAATTAGCCTCACATTTGATTTTACTTATCGGATGCAACACTTAAATGTAAGACAACGAAGTTAGTATGCGAAAAGGAAAGAAAGAAGAAGAGCAATAAACTCACTAGAAAGAGGAAATGACAAAATCAAAAGAATAGAGAATTAAAAGATAGGAGTTCTCTTAGATGGCAAAGAAAGAACCAAAAAGAAGATGAAAAGCTAAACACGTGTTTTTCGAGTTTGACAACGGGAAGTGTATAAGTCAGACCTTTCATCATAATGCCCTCACAAGACACGTTATTTACAAAAATACCCTTCATCGTACCACTAAAGCTTCACTTATTATATAGTTAAATATATATATATATATATATATATATATATATATATATATATATATATATATATATATATATTAAGAACTGTATAATTTTTTCAATAATTAATCAAAGATACAGTCAGACCTCTCAATGACATCATCCCTTAACAATTATTCACTATTAAAGCCAAGTTTTCCTGAGAATCGATTTTTTAAATTATATTTTATCTCTCTATAATAACTTTTTACCTATAACAACAACATCCATATAGAATCTTTAAGATTACTACTAATGATTTTAAAAATATGCACACAATCCTTTCCATTAAAGAAAGTTCCTATCTTGCATAATATATAAGATTTGAAAAGTCGTACATGATGCCTTTTTCATTGGACAAATTTCAAAAAATATTTAGATAGAAAATTTAACTGTTAAACTCTTAGTTTGTCTTCAAGGAAAAACTATTGGATACCTTTTTACCAAAAATTTGGACACGAACTTTCACTAATTCAAGCGTTATATTAGTAAGAGAATGAAATCTACGAAACAAGCTACAATTATAAAGTTCTTCCATCATTCTTAAAAGAATTTATTTTTGTAGGTAGCTTTAAAATGTCTGCCTTAGAGTTTAAATAGTATATGTTTAGTCATAACTTTATTAATAATGTATTAATTTTTTTTAAATATTTAACTAGTGAAATATGCATATCTTTTGAGATTTTAAATTTGAATAGTTTTCTTATCTTTTATATCTAACATTAAAGAAGGAAAAATAATTGATTTAGGATAATTATAATCTATAACAACTAAAAAATATTTAAAGGTCAAATGCTATTATAAATATATAACAGCAATTTGTTATAAAAGGTCAAGAGTGTTATAGAGATGGTAGGCTACATTGACCAGTGGGGCAAACTACTCAACTAAATCAGCAACCGCGCCGCGCCTTAAATTCCACGACAAGGACCGATGCATTTGGGAAAGGGTAAATCTTGGGCTAACCGCCATCAAGTACTACCAACACTACGTCGTTCCACAGCACTAAATTAGAACAACGACTAAACATTAGCTCAATTCCCACTACCACATGTAAATTCAACTCCGAAAATTCTCATCGGAGACGCAGAATAATTTTTTAGTCCTAGGGTTTGCTAATCACTTTGTCATCGCCGGCTATGGCGTTACAAACCGGAATAGGCTTAGGCAGAATCATCTTCATTGTCGGTGCTGGTATGCAAACTATTCCCTTTTGAGTCTTTTTCATTCTACTTTGTTCTAAGTAAAATTTCAATTTCGGTTTTCTTCTTTTTAACGATTTTTGCTAGTTTGATCTGATCGTATGTATATATTCCTTATGTGTAGGGTACACTGGTACTGTGCTGTTCCAAAATGGTAAATTATCTGATGTATTAGGCGAGCTTCAGGTACTTGCGTTCACCTTTTTATTAGTGTTTTTCCCCAAAATTGAGTTAGTTTTATCTGTGCCTAAGTTAGTATTTTTGAATTTCTGTTAAAAGATACGTTTTTTTAATTATGCTCTCAACTGAGCTTGAATTAGGTAGTCTAGGTGTAATAAGTATCTCCTAGGTGTATAATGCTTCTACTGCGAGCACTGAATTATATATGGTGGATGCTGAAATTTGGAAGGGAATGAGATAATTCTAAATGACTGCGTTGTCACTGATTGAATTAGTTTTAGCTTCGTATTCCATGAATTCTGTTAATGGAAAAAGTACTATTGTTTATGCATGTTTGTTGCTCGAAACAGGTAATCTAGATTGTAATGACTTAGTATAATGCTTCAATTACTAGCACAGGAGAGTAACTTAGTGTGAATGCTGAAATTTCAATGTAACAGGGAGAAGAATGCTTAAGAACTACCTATCAAAAAAATAATGCTTAGGAACTATGTTATGTACATATACATGATACATGATCAACTCACCTTGTTTAAAAAGGGTTTTTGCAGGATATGATTTTATTTGAATATTTTTTTTTTGCTAGATCCTTGTATGACCTGTAACTAACAAGAAGGATGTAGTTGTCAAATTTTAAAACCAATTTCCTGTTTCTTTTATGTTTTCCGCATTTAATATTTGAATGCTTTAAGTGATTCTTTCCCAATCTTTTTGACAGAACTTGATAAAAAATTATGAAAAATCAGGGGAGACAGATGCTGGAGATTCAGATGTTATGGCTGCACAGGTACCTTGATCGTAAAAAGTAGCTTAAGTATACATATGAAAGTTCAGTTTTGTCATTGAATCTTTCTGATCTACTGCCAATGTGGTTTTATATGCAAAATCTACCTGTTTATCTATCGGTGAAAATTTGCAGTCCTATAATAGGCCGTGTACATAGACGGCCCCTTAAGTCCTGATTTTTCATCTAGACGCCGAAACTAAGCAAATGACACATGGACACTTGGACTATGCCCAAACTGTACCAATTAGGCACGAAATGCTGACATGGCAGGTGTGTGCTTCTTATTCAAAATTAAGTGCATGGAATGACTGTATATATTAAGCTGCAACAAAGTGTTTGCCGGAAAACATAAAACTTCACCTGAAAAGGAATTTGGCCGTTTTGGTTCTATTGCCCTTCTTTCTCCAAATTCATGTTTTTTCTGCAATTTCTTTAGCCACATTTTCAAACCAATAATTCTGCTTCTTGAACAACACTTATTTCAGTTACTTTCCGGTCACTCTGCCATTTTGTTTTAGCAACAATCTAAAATAAATGGCCATCACAAAAGCAATGCATCAATGTTTAACTAGCAAGGAAATATACATTACACCCTCTGTTCACTTTTACTTATTCATGTCCAAGGGCGGATCTGTGTAGAGCAGAAGGAGTGGTACACCACCCGCATGCTGGGTAAAAATTTCAAGTGTACAGTACTATCTTGAGGAAAAAAAATATAAATATACGGCGTGGCACCCGGAGTAACTAAATGATTGAAGGTGCCATTGTCAGGGACACTTTTCGAGCCGTGTCACCTAGGGTCGAGACCCACCAATGACCATTCAATTTTGTGTTTCCTCTTGGCGCTACTTCCCTTTTTCCTTTTTTTCCACTTCTTCTCTTTTTCTTAATTTCTTTTACTTTCTTCGTCTTTGTATTTCCTCTCTTTGTACAACACCAATTTTGTTGTACTTTTAATTATATTTGCTTCCGTTTTCCTTTTCTAGACCTAAAAATTCTTATTTGAGTATGACTTTAATCATATTTCTTTTTATCATCTAATGTTAGTTTTCAATTGATTTCAAATAAAGGAACAAACATCTTCAATTTAGTTATCGTGTGTTTAATTATGCACCAAAAATCTTGTGGATCGAAAAAATAATTTAAAATAGACCCGAACTGAATTAATTCAAGAAAGAGCAAACCGGCCAAATGTATATTCTAATTCGATTTCCTTCGCTAATGGTAGATTTGCATTAAATATAGTGGCACACGTAGCCATCAAACTCTGGATCCGCCTCTATTCACGTCACTTACGTTGCACTTCAGTGTAGGCAAGGCACTAAGGCGTGCACCTCATTGCCAGTAAGTTCTATCTTAAATAAAGCGGTGCAAAACAATACTTATAATTGGCAAAAAAATATATAAATTGTTAAGGAAATCATTATGAATGAAATTCTTAATTTTTTCTTATATTGCATATATGTTTTTATTTTTTCCTTCGTTGTGCATTTTTTAGCTAAAGCCCACACTTTAATTGCACTTTGAGCTTAAAGCCCCAATAGATCTCGAGTGCTTTTTAACACTTTTCGCCTTTGACAACACCGATTCATTTACTTAAGGGGACTGTAAAGTCCATTGTGGACAAGTAAAAGTAACCGATAATGCATAATAATTCAAAATTTTAACAGCAGCATCCAATCTCAAAACTCTGGAATACTAGCATGCTGCACGTGCGCTCTTCATAACTTTACCAGAACTCCAAATTGTCACTGGGAAGTGCAAGGGTATTATGGTCGCTAGAGGAAAGTGTTCGCTGAGCATAGCACAAAATTTTACCTGCCATTTTTTGCCATTTTAAAAGCCATTTCAGCCAATTTATGTTTCCAAACAAAGTGGATCTACGATATATTGCTGCCCTGCATTTCCACACAAGGTGGGTATTTTGCCAAGAAAATTTCCAGTGGTGCCTAATTCATGTTTCCCACTTTCTCTTCATTTTACATATATATATTTTGCAACTAATGAAGTAAAAAGATGTGCTCCATCGTTTCTGGACTTCTTTCCGTTGAGTCTGGCCAGCTTCGAAGTAGGAGATGAAGAGTTTTTTTTCCTTACGTGTTTTTGCTTCTCTTTGCTGATGTGTGTCTTTTTTATTGGTTCTTTTGCTACATCATCTCGAATTGAACTCCACGCGCTTGAAAATTTCATTTGCTTGTGCCTCAAGTATCTAATAGGCACAATTTAAGCATAGTTGAAGTGTTCAATAGGTCATATGCTTATTTAGGTGTCTACATGAAAAATCAGAACACGTTTAAGGGGCTGTCTATGTATTTGGCCTTTGAAATTTCCTTTTCATAGATTAACAAAATCATTCTTTTTATAACCGTGTGTTTGGGCCAGCTTGCACGCATCTCGGCTAATTCCAGTGGGTACATCCTACCTCTTACCATAGGTACCTGGTAACCCCTTCCACCAAAACTTGGACAAATGCGAAAAAATCACCTAGTGTTTTTTTCTCCGTCGGGTCTTGAACCCAAGACTTTATTGCTCTCGACGTACTTCATTGACCACTAGGCCACACCTTTGGGTGCAGTAAAAACATTATTTTTAGCACTACCTTCTAGAGTTAACATTGATGAAGTACTGGTATTTCATAATATGGATATTTTCCTTTTCTTTAAAATAAGGTAATAAGATTTCATTAATGAAGGGCATAAATACCCGTATACAAGAAGCATACCCAAATATAGAGAAACCTCACAAAAAAAGATTTTTCTCTGCAAAAGGCACCTAATCTTCTGTGCTTAAAGGAATCTCATGGGTGCTCCAAAACTAATAAGGGAAAAGAGACCACTCCTTGAATGTAAAAGTCCTTCTCTGTCACATCAAAAGCTCTTCTATTTCTCTCTCTCTAAATGGTCCACATGAGTGCAAGTGGAACGACATCCCAAGCCTTGCGTCCTCTTCCTCCTCCTGAATGTTGAATGTCCAACTGAACATTACTTCTTTAACCGTGCCTGGCATCACCGATGAAGTCCAACCCAACCCAACACTTCACACAAGCGAGATGCAATATGACAATGTAAAAGAAGGTAATCTACTTCTTCATCTGAGCGCTTGTACATGAAGCTGCAACTGATACATGTAACTCTCCTCTTCCTGAATTTCTTGTTCGGTAGACTCACCACGTTTATAGCTAACCATGTAAAGAAACACAGCTTTCTCGGCACTCGGGGTCTTTAAACCGTGAGATAAGGAAAGGCTACCTCTGCTCTATCCAGTAATAAACCATAATAGGACTTTTTAGAAAAATACACCACTATCCTCCCCTTCCCCCCTCAAATCTCTAAACACCATGGCTAATCCATGAAATATTCTGCTTGTGGAGCAACTATCAAACCGTGGAACTAAACAATCTCCCAATCTTCTAAGTTTCTCCTAAGTCTCAAACCCTAATGTGTTTCTCTATCTTAAATCCTCCGTGTGCTTTGAATTGCCATCTTTTCTTGGCATGAAATCCTGCGCATATTAGGAAAATTGATGCTTAAAATGTTACTTTCACACCGTTTGTTTCTCGTAAGCTTACTTTGTTCTCATCATGTCACGCTTCAAAATTAGGGTGGGATGTGATGGGCACCTGAGCTACCCGTCGAGTGAAACCTGAACTAGCTTGTGCTAAATGTAGTTTAACATGGAATTGAACATCATTAACACCGTTAAGAGAAATAAAATTGAAATAGCTAAAATTGAATTAAATCAATTATATAATAATAAAGTGCATGAGTCTAACGTGACACAGGTCAAGAGTCGAGGCTGGTAAGCTGCCAAACAAAAAGTACATGAGTCTAACGTGGCTAAATTGTGAACTTTAACCCCACTGAATAAAAGTCATTCAGTCATGAGCCTCTAAGGACTTATTATACATGATCTATGGAGGTTTCCACATGAAATAATATAAAAGTGTAATATTAATAAAACCTTGCGAAGAGATCTGTTATCCCCGGAATAAATCAATGGAGCTTGTGAATTGAATCTAGAAAACTTGCCTCTAGCCACGAGCTTCATCACCTGCACACTTAATGCCTGCTACATGATGTGGCATGCCTTAACGGGCTAAGTATCTCCGAGGGTACCTAGTAAGTCTTGTTTACCACCCCCTAAGCGAGCACAAGACTTTTCTAGGCTAAACAGTTATAATAAAGATGCAATAAATATAACTAGCAATTTAATACGTTAATATTAAAATATGAAAGCTGAACTGTAACATGAAATCTAAAAGCTGAACTGTAACATGAAATCTGAAAGTTGAACTTTACATGAAATTTAAATTAAGTTCTAATAATTGAATATAGCTAAGTTTCTTGTTTTGAAAATTTTATCTAACAATGGTGTCTGTGAGTGTGAGGATGGCTGTGCCAATCCCCGGCCCGTGCGACTTTTACACTCAGGGAGGTTGACTACTTCTTCCAAACACATAAATCTGAATAAATAATGGCACAAGCTGTTTAACCTAAAAAATTGATTATTAGAGTAGTCAATTAGATTTACAGAAATTAGGTCGCAAGAAACTGGCACAATCCAATTAGATTGGCTGTAGTTAATCAAAAATAAACAAATGAGACAAATTACTATAAAAGAAAGCAGTGTAAAAGCAGTAAAGGAAGAATGAAGTAGATGAGATTCTTATTCCATGATTCTTGACGGAAAGGAATTGTAGAGCAAGATTAGTGAACAATGTTTATAAGCTCATCAGGTTAGTAGATTATCTAGAGTTTTTTCTATCTGAATCTTAATGAATCCAAGTGTAATAGAGTGGGAGTATTTATAGTACAAATTCCTAGTAACCGTTCCCCAGAATCACGCACGTTGGTTTTGAGCATTATCTATCAAGCTCGCGCCTTACTCCTGTAGGCTTTTACACCTGGGGAGGTTGACCACTTCCCCCAAACACATAAATCTGAAGACGTGGAGGTGGAGCACATGCAATTGTGGGACAACTAGCCCTGACAACTATGGCTCTCACACTTGGGGAGGTTGGCTACTTCTCCCAAAATGCACGTGATCACATATATCTAATCTGTGATGAGTATGAATAAATGCAAGCAATGGCACAACAACAATCAAATCAAACAAGAGATTCAATTGCTTTTGAAATTTTGAGCTAGCTGAGTTATCAAGTAATGCAATTCAATTGCTATAAGAAAAGAAAATCTATATCATGAACTAATGATAACATCATAGCATTTAATCAATCAAGGGTTTTCAAACAAAAAGTTAAAGCATTTACACTTGGGAACAATCAGTCAACTTTTTATCAAATAATTTTTTTTACTAAACATTTTCTTATTACGCCCTTGACTTGGGGAATGTAAACTTCACTTACCTTGAAACAATTGTCCAAGTTTTCTCTCAGTAACTTCGCTTACTCAACTCTTCGAAATCTTCAACCTAGGGGTTAAAACCATTAACCCAAACTATTCATTCAACCCAATTCCTTCAGCAAAGTATTATTTAGCCATCTAGGGCTTAAAGTTAATTTTCACCTCCAACTCCATCACTTCTTGTGTTCTATAGTCTTAATATAGTCACACGATTCTAACTTTAGTGTTACGGAGTAGTAGAATTCACCTTGAGGGACGTTCCCATAAAACCCTAGGTTTTCCATCACTTGAGTTCTTGAAGATGTTTCTTGAAATCTAGGGATTTGCCGAGTGATTTAATGTTAGGAGCATGATTAAATGTTGTAAATCTATGTATTTATCCAAGAATACTCGCCTTTGAGTGTGAGAGTTTGCGCAACTTCGTGCTTGCTATGTGGCAGAAGACTTAATGCTCAAAACCTAAAATACGAGCCTTTCTTGAAATTTGAAATTTATATCTATAGGTGATAGCGTCGTGGTCATGTGCTGAAGCATAACTGAGTTGTTTTTCTACACTTGACCAAATTCAGATCGCGTGGTGGTCGTTTATTGGAGCGAAACTTAGCTGTTTTATACACTTGGCGTCTAATACGTTCCTCCATCTTTTTGGCCATTATACTTACAAAACTTGATTCCAAATCATTTAACTTGATTCCAAATCTTTTGCTAATATGGAAGACCAAACTACCCACCAAGGTTATTTGTTTCAGCTGGATTGCTCTATATGAAGCCTGCTTAACACAGGATAATCTCAATAGAAGAGGCTTTCAACTGGTCAACAGATGCTACATGTGTAAGGAAAGCTCAGAGAATGTCAGTCACATGCTCTTGCATTGCCCAGTTGCCACTGATCTGTGGAATATGTTTTTTTTGTCTTTTCGGTTTGAACCGGGTCATGCCATCGTATATTAGAGAGGCATACACAAGCTGGAGTCTTTGGGAAGTTGATAAGGCCATCAAGGAGATCTGGTTAATGATTCCTGCAGTTATTTTTTGGAGTTTGTGGAATGAAAGGAACCAAAGATGCTTTGATGGAATCTCAACTCCAAATCACACTCTTAAAGCTAATTGTTTGCTCACCCTTTTTAGCTGGGTGAAGTTAACCCCTGTAATTAGCACTGATCACCTTTTGGACTTTGTTAGCTCCTTAGTTATAGTTTAGCACATCCTAATGGGGCTTACAAACTCTTATTTTTCTGTATTTTTGTCTTCTGATTTTGTAACTATTGCATCTACTTGATGCCTTTCTAATGAAATACCTTACTTCATCAAAAAAAGTCTTTGAAATAAATCTTACCATAAAAATTCATTGTATGAACCCATAAGAAAAATTCATCGTATGAGTGTTAACTCAAGGCTTAAGGAACCATAATCGGGGCTTTACACATCACCCGCCCTAAGTGATTAAGTGAAACATTCCCAATAAACTCTTACAACCCTTCTAAAGTATTCCTCCGTAAACGGCGCTCATAGGGAAGTGTAATATTTTTAGTCCTCCATCCCCCTTCTAGAACCCCATATTTCTCCGCAATCACCTCTCTCCAAAGAGCATTCTCCTCTACTGAAAATCTCCATAACACTTCCAAGTAATCCCTTGTTAAACACCCTTAGATCTCTAATCCCAAGCCCACCCCAACACTTTGGTGTTGTGACGATCTTCCAATTGACCAAATGAAACTTCCTTTCCCTGCTTGAAAAATCCCATAGAAATTCCCTTTGAAATTTTTCCAACTTCCCTGTAATAGTGGTTGGAGAGTTTAACAAGGACATGAAATACGTTAGAATGCTCAATAAAGTTCTCATCTTATGACTGTAGGGCATTTAGGTCTGTATAGATCATGGATTCAGTGATTAAACGATGGATGTAATGGTGTCATTGTTGTATGAGTTTAGTTTATTAAGCTATATCAAATTGACTCAAGACTTTTCCTTTCCTTCTCTCATTCTCTTTTTGCTTTTTCTTCATTTTTGGTGGATGCTAGTGGGGTCTACAGATTGTTGCTTAGGCCCGACGCTTTCCTTTTTCCAATATTTATTGTGTAATATGTACCTTAATTTTTATTTTTGGATTCACTCCCCCAAAAAGAATTTGTCCATTGGCATTCACAGATTAAATGTGGGTGTTGCGAGAGGCATATATATGAGTAATTTCACAATTTAAATGCCTAGATGGCATAGGGGCCCCTAGGCTTTGGTCTAGTGGTAAGAGCGCAACACATATTATGTGGGTTTGGCGCAAGTCATGGATTCGAATCTTGCCGCGGACAAAAGCTGATATTTAAGCCGAGAAGGTTAAGCGGCGGGCCAATTATACACCGTGTTCGTGCATAACTAGCCATCAGAGAATTCTCGATAATAAAAATAATGATTAGATGGTTAGGGTTTAACATTTCCCATCATCACACAAATCTACATGGAAATGCACCCAAAAAACAATTTGACTTATTAAAATCAATGTGGACTAAATTTATGGGATTAAATTGGACATGGATTTATGACTTAGAAAACAAAATCACGTGAAAAAATACTATTATTTTGAGATGGTGTGTAAGAGGTTTAGAAAAAATGAGCTTGGCCATGCCCCGGGGATTTCATTCAATGGCAAAGGTGGTACGACCCAGGTCACAAGTCCTGCCGGTTGAACACTTGAACCAAGTCTGGTATTAATTTTAGTGGAGAAGGATTGAGGAGCAGGCTTCTTATCTACTTAGTTTCAAATTTGGAATTACAGATTTCTCTGTATTTAAAAAAAAAAAGGAAAAATAAAGAAAATGAGAGCTTGTCCGTCATCCAATCCACCTCTCTAATTGAGTTTATTGTCTTTCGCAGACATGCTTTGCATCACATGCCCCATTATTATTATTATTATTATTATTATTATTATCATTATAATTATATTAGACAGGATAAAAGAATTATTAACCCCTGATTCTGTTGTGGTATCAACCAACTCATTATAAATTAAATTATGAAATATCTCTATGTTACAATGCAACTTATGTTTATTGCTTTCTCTTTGTAGGTTCGTAGGCTGGCAATGGAGGTTCGACAATTGGCTTCTGCTCGATCAATTACTGTTCTTAATGGAAATTCTACTGGTATCTTCCACCATTCTTGACTGAAGAGTTTCATGCTATGTTTTGCTTTGTCTTTCCTTTGATTATGCAGAAGTTGTTTTCTATCAGCCAATGTGGGCTTACACCCTTTGTCGCCCTCTGTGTCTCAGGTAACTTGACATCTCTTATCATGCCAACTGCTGCAGTAGGGGCGTTGGGTTATGGATATATGTGGTGGAAGGTAAAATAAATTGTTTCTTAGATTCTCTATATAAGTAATACCCTCTCTTTTGTTACTGGCTTCCATTAATGTGGAGATTACTCGAAGGAAGTCTGGGTGATTCATTATACTAAGGTGTACTAGAGGTATGTGTAGCATGACAGATGAAATTAAAATGCATGAGGGAGAAGGGCTTTCTCAAAAAAAAAAAAAAAAGAAGTAAAATAAAATGGATGAGTGAGAACGAGTGAGTAACATGCTCATGTGTGTCTAGGTGGCGTGTCAGCTTGAAGTTGGTCCTCGGCTTAGGTACCAGCCCTTCTACAGAATATTAGGGGTCAAAATGGTGGAAGAAACAAGCCCTCAACCGAAGGCCAAGCTTTTCTGCCTCTAGCTTTAGATGGCCATTGCATACTTGTTACGGTGAACAATGATCGATATCCCTAGTATTTAAAAAAAAAGAAAACATATTTTCAACTTTCCGTGTAATTCTTGCAGGGCTTATCATTCTCTGACCTTATGTATGTAACCAAAAAGAATATGACAAATGCCGTTTCAAATTTGACAAAGCACTTGGAGCATGTTTCTGAGGCGCTTGCTGTAAGTATCATCTCTTGCAAACTACCTCTGTTGTTAATTCCTTCTCTGCAATCTTGGCACTCCCATGTGCCTAACTAGCACACTAGTATTATGCAATTTTTTGCTTATAATAAATCCGGTGTTTCTGTTAAACATGTGAAGCTTGATGTTTGCAGCTTGTGTCAACAATAGTGTGCTATTAATGAATTTGCCCTAACCTCCCCAGCCCTCTTGGTAATAGGCCAGAAATATTTCCCATGTCGGTGAATGTGTTTGTATTCTCTGAATGTACATTACTACCAAGATTAATAGTGTGGTACTGTGGTGGTACCAGTGAGAGTCTCAACATGATATGTGTGGGTTCAATTCTGATTATCTCCTTCCCCCTCCCCCTAAGTAATATTTTTTTTTATAAAAAGAAAGCAGTTATTTAAACAGCCTGAGAAAGAGTTGGGTATTTGGGTGTGATATATGTTTCTTGGTGGGTCTCGTAAGAACGTAGATCTTTACATTTATATTTATACTGTTCATAAAACCCATACCTCCCTAGAGCAACTCAATTGGTTTATCAATATGTACCTAATTGTAGTCCAGTTCAGTTTATGAAATAAAAATGAGTTGTTCATTACCTAACCTAAAACATAATTCGCCGCGGTAAGACTTCTTTAGATTAGATGTCAACATTGAAAATCCTTGATTAAAATTTATTCTCAAGTAAAAGAGAATTTTAAAGACTTAAGATAGCAACAAGAACCACTACGCCTCGGTCCCAAACAAGTTGGGGTCAGCTAAAGACTTAAGAATTAAGATAGCAGCTAGTAAAAAAAATTATCGAAGTCACATTAATTACAGTTGAATTGGATTTAGATTTTAGACATAAAGTTGCTACTGGGTTGTGAAATATAAGGACAATAATTTGTATTGCCACACTTGATCTACCAAATATTTTTGTATTATTCCCGTAACAGTGGGATGAAATTCATGATATGCTAGGGGATTAGCAAATCGTGGTAACTGTGGTCTCTCATTACAAAAAAAGTATAAAACCTCAAAAGGTCCCCAGTTTAGTATTATAACTAGCTTGAATAACGATTGTCTGAAAAAGTCTTTCTGCTATGCTGCACTTTCCTATTCTTTTACCCATTTTAGCCTCCTGTTATTTACTTTAACTGTTAAAGCAAATATTAGCTTTGAGTTTACCAATTTATGATCAACAACAACTACTACACCTTGGTCCCAAGGTAATTGGGGTTAGCCATATGAATCCTAATAATCCACTTTGCTCCATTTGGATCTGTTGCATTCCAAACTTCCAGTATTCAATAATTTGGGGTTCTCTACCACTATTGGTTCTTTACATTTTCTTTTGAATAGCATCTTTTTTATCAAAAATTAAAAAATAAAAGAGTTTTTAAGACACGATACAAGTGTGCCATAATTTCTTTCTCATGAAAAAAAGAGAAAGAAGTGCCATAATTTCCCAAATCATAAGAAGAGGGGGAAAGTTTGAGGAAGAAAATATTTCATGTTAGTGTTAGTTGGTTGTTTAAGCTGATTACTTCTCTCCACAGAAATGAAACCGCGTGTCAGAAGTCTGCTATTAGACAACCGTATGATTCTTTCTTGAACCATAATTTTTCTGTGATTCCTATAAAGAATTTGCGCAAACAGACCTTTATGAAGATGTTTTTATGTGATGTGGGGTTATTTGTGTCTACCTATGTCTGGTATCTCCATGATGCCTTCCTCATTATTCTGTTTCTCCTCTTGATCAGGCAACAAAGAAACATTTGACACAGAGAATTCAGAATGTCGATGGGAAATTGGATGATCAAATGGAGATGTCAAAACTACTAAGGAATGAGGTGCAAATCTATTCTAACACCTCTTTGTCTTTATTTATATTTGGGGTTTGTTTTCTCTGATCCACTGTCATAATCCTTAACTTTATACTTTCCTGGTTATACTATAACTTTGCAGTATAGCTGTCATAATCAGGTCAAATCCTGTTTTGCAACAGGTTAATGATGTGCGTGGTGATCTGTCACAAATTGGTTGTGATTTGGATGAATTACAGAGAATGGTTTCTGGTCTGGTAAGTTATGCTTTCTTATATCTTGTGTTCTCTTGTCGAAATTATTGTTCAGATGCTTTTGTAGAGAGGCAGTGGCAAAGCTACCTTGGATTCTCAACGTCATTTTTGGTCAATTTTGTTGTATGTACTTTTAGTACACTGATCTCATCTTTAACTGTATCCGGATATGCAGGATGGCAAGTTAGTTTCCTTAGAAGGCAAACAGGTAAACTGAAAAAATAAGTCATTTCATCCTTTTCTCTCAGCTACTAATTTTGTTTATTTACCTATTAAATACTAAGGGGAAAAAGTTTCTGATCATTCGATCATCTGGGGTTTGTAGCCTCTGCTTATTTGCAATGTGCCATTAAGGTAATTTGTGCTAAGCATAGCTCTCATGGTTAATAACAGGACTTCGCAAATGCTGGTGTCATGTACCTGTGCAATATAGTCAATGGAAAAAGGGTGAAGATGCCTGATACACTTCAGGTTTGTACACCCCCCTCCCCCCCCCTTTTTTTTTCCCCCTCCATGTACAACTATTGATGTTATCACAACTTGTCGATGTGATAACCTCTTCCACTTGAATAGTGTTTTATTCTGTTTTAGGCTTTCACACACTATCATTTTGCATCTGTTCCCCTCTAGAAAGGGTGATATGGACGGGGTTGGGTCGTACGTGTGAAACAAGTGGGATAAAGAATGTTTTTCTTTGTCCCCATGGATACAGCAATGCGATTTTAGACGAACCAAATATAGCGATCAAAAAGTTTTCTTTGCCAGGCAAGTGACAGGATGTGTGGTTCGTTTTTCTATGGACAATCCCTTTTGCTACATGATTTTTGGCATGATCAAAACTACCAAAGCGTTAGTTAACAGGTTTTGATTATATGCATCTGATTTTCACACTAGGGTGAAGGTAGGAACAGAGAGAAATTTTGTCTTCTCCCAGTAACTGGTATCTGTTCTTAACCTAGAAAAGGCGAAACACTAGTCTATTTGGCCAAAGTTACAGATAACAACAACAACATGCCCAATATAGTTCCATATAGTGGGGGCTGAGGAGGGTAGTGTGTACGCAGACCTTACCGCTACCTTGAGGAGATAGAGAGGCTGTTTCCAATAGATCATAATGGATATTCATGTATAAGGAGATTTTCGGTCTTTCATTCTTCTTGATCTAAGGTGTGAATTAAAACTTATAAGTGCCTAGCAAAGGCAATTAGTTAACAGGTTTTGATTATATGCATCTGATTTTCACACTAGGGTGAAGGTAGGAACAGAGAATTTTTTTTTCTCCCAGTAACTGGTATTTGTTCTTAACCTAGAAAAGGCGAAAACGCTAGTCTATTTGGCCAAAGTTACAAACAACAACAACAACAACAACAACAACATGCCCAGTATAATTCCACATAGTGGGGGCTAGGGAGGGTAGTGTGTACGCAGACCTTACCCCCCTACCTTACTCCCCTACCTTGGGAGATAGGTAGGCTGTTTCCAATAGATCAAAATGGATATTCATGTATAAGGAGATTTTCGGTCTTCCATTCCTCTTGATCTAAGGTGCAAATTAAAACTTATAAAAGAGCCTATCAAAGGCAACATGTCAAGTAAAGACATTAACATACTAGGTCGTTTTGGTTGATTTCAACCTCGTCGCATAATAGAAAGAAAAGGACCTTCCATTTGGGGGCATATACTTTTCTTGAATCTGCTTTAGCAGGAGAAGGAACACCAAACCTGTTAAACTTGTCGAGTCTCTCTAGTGTTCTATTTTTAAGATTGTGCAAGCAATTACCACACAAAGATCTCTGGTTGTAGCCACTTTCAGCAGTAATCATCTCCAGGACAGTACATAGGACAAGATAAAGTTAAGTGGCACCTAGTAGGTGCAAAAGAGGCTGAGTGCTTCACCTTGCTGCAGTTCAGTTCAATCGCCAAGGTGTGACGGCATCTGTCTCATCACCAATTGGCTCTGTCCTGACGAGGCCTCATTAAGCAATAATTATTTCACTTCATTCCATCTAATTGTCTGCAATTATAGTTGTTATTAGAGTTAAATACGTTACGCCCCCCTGTATTATGACTTGTAATGGGAGACACCCCCTGTATTTGAAACCAAACACTTAATACCCCTGTATTATAAAAGCCGTAAAACTACTTAACGTTGTTAAAGCAATATACGAAAATGACTAAACTATCCCGTAGATACCCTATGTTTATCTCAAATACGCTCAGTGCATAACACTAGAATCAAATAGTCAATCATGTATAAATTGTATTATTATAATTCCGGGATCTCTACAACAAATAATCAATCATGTATAAGCTTCAAGTTTACGAACATTTTTCAACAGCAAAAAAGCAAGATACGTTCAAATCAACCAAACACTAAAGGCAAGTGGAAAGTAATTGTATTTAGAATCATTATTGGGAAACAGAGCAATTGACCTGTATTTCTGCGGTTCATAACAATAAACTGAAATCGCGGTTGAGCACTCCTGTAACACCCGCTAAAAGTTAATTATCACAAAACACAAAGCACAGAACTCTAAATCAAAACTGAAACAAACATTCCTTTAAAATGAGTTTTTTTAATACTCTGACTGTTGAAAACAAATAGAGATCCTTCCAAATCCTTCTGACTCTGCATAAACAATTCAATTACAAATTATATTAATGGAAAGAGAAAAATTATAAATGAACAAATAAATTCAGGAAATTGAATTAGCTGTTATCGATATATTCTTAAAAGGTAACATGAGCAGCAGTGATAAGATTTTCTTCAATGAAAGGATCAATACACTGAAGAACCGTCAAGTTTAGAATTTCTTCATTGTCTTCCCATTCATAACAATACATGAAAATAGAAGAGGAAAAGAATGCTCTAAGGATTTTGCTGGGAAGCAGTTCTGTTACAGGAGTATAAATTGATGTGAAGCAAGGGTAATTTGTCAATGTATTAGTTGTTATATGAAAGAAATAAAAAAAGAAAATGGATTCTTAAAGGAGTTAGTATTTGTGTAGGATTTTTATAATACAGGGGGATTAAATGTTTTGTTTTAAAATACAGGGGTGTCTCCGTTTTCGGTCATAATACAGGTTTTTTAATGTATTTAACTCTTATTATTATTCAACTTAATTTACGCGGGTGTGTGTGTATTTTTTTTTTGTTTTTTTTGTGAGTATCACCTTGGAGCTGACTATCGTTGTATCGTCTTTTCTTGTTTTGTGTATTTTATCCTTCACAGACCATTTTGTTTAATATTATTAGATGCTTGTCTCTTAACCTGTATTTAATGCTGCAGGAACAACTTAAAATTGTGGGCAACTCAACACCTAGTCTCATGGTACTTCTGCTAACTTCTTTTTAATGTCTTTATTCAAGTATTTTGTCTTACTATCAGCCATATGCATGAAGTTGGCCTGTGATAGCGTGCATTTTTTTCTTTTTAGTTCCAAAATGCTCATTGGATTTTGGCTCCTACATAAAGGAGATTTTTTTTGTAAAAAATCTAGGAACACCAGAATAGTGTCAAAATCAAAAAATTGCTAAAATTTTAAACGACATTTTTATTGGTTATAATATATGAACTACTTTGGGATGCCGCTGCCCATATTGATATTTCTAATTGACATGATTCATTTATGTTAAATAATTTTGAACTGTCTAATACATGCTTTCGTCGTGAATACAATGGCAATTTTTGCATGTCTGATACACTGTTTGGTCAAGTATGGTTTTACCATTCCTGAGCTCCGATTGGAAAAGATTGATTAACACACATACAATGCCTCCCTTCGTTAACTGAACTGCAGATTCCCTATTGGCTTTTATTGTCTGTTTCTTTATGTCTAATCATTGACATGGTGGTTTTATCAGTCGGGTTACAGTTGCAGGCATTTCATTGATGTCCCATAACTTTGTTACAGGGCCTTAAAGAACTTGCGGACTCTTTACCACAAGGAAATTCTAATAGGTATTTAACTGATGGCATTGCCCAAGATAATCTTGATAAGTTAAAAGATCCACCAAGAGGCCTAATGAGGTATGTTATTTAGCATGTTCAAACTTCCCCTTTCACTCGCTCTCCTCTATTTTGGCTTGTGGGTTAGCTGGGATTTAGTCATCGTGCTCCTTAATTTTTGTTGATTAGCAACTCTGCATGTTCAGAATTTCTTTTTTCCTTTTGCATTGTTTTGTGGTTGAAGTCATTATATATCCATGCAAACATGTGTTTCCTCTACTCCTGGAAAGGCCCTGATTTTCTCCTTTTTTTTATGTTCTTTCTAACAGGACGGCTTCTACCAAGTGCTGATTCACCCGTATGAAAGGAAATATCATTTGGTTGTTTCTGTTTTTCTTGGAGTATCAGGGCTCTGCTGGGATATTTTCTTTTTTTCTTGGGGGGTTGTTGAACGGCAGTCTCTTCAACTTCTGTTCCAGTTAATGGTTACATATGTAGTCATCAAATGATGGAGCCTATATTTAGACCTCCACTGATATTTCATCTATGCGCTCATATATACGTATTTTGTCTCAAATCACAACTGTATATGATTGAATAAAATACGTGCCACTGGATAGTAGGCACAGTGGTGACACTGTTAATTTGAAAAAAGATGTCAGAAAATTATTCTTGGTGTTCTCTTTTCTGTATAATGTTGAACCCTAGGAAGATTTTCAGATATCTTGATTAGGCCTTCAAGAAAGCAATCTTGTTACGTACCTCCCTCATAAAGCTGAATGCTAAATATAGTCTTGTGCTCGTTGTTCATGGTGTTGAGAAGGCAATTGGTGAGGTTTTTGGTTAAGCAACCTTAGATCCAGTGGCTAATCAAGGTTCCCTAAGCTGGGGTTGCGTAATTGATAGTCGTCTCTGCTGTGAGTGATTATATCGCAACATTACAAATAATGGATTTGCCACTATTTTTTGTTTTATTAAACAAAATGTCTATTTTTATAAATAGTATTTTACTTAATGTGAATGTCTATCTTTTTGAGAGAATTTTGTGGCTAAGTCACTTTTCCTTTATAAATAGGAGGTTCTATTTCATTGTAATTCATCCTAATTGAACAAGAATTCTCTCTGCTTCTCTCTTTATAATATGTCAGCATGATATTAACCAATTGAGTAGTGGGCGGTTGTTTTAATTTGTGGATATATTATTAATTAGTTGTTTAATGTGTGAGAAATTAAATCACTCGTGGAGAGAAAGATATAAGAATTTGCGTGAGGCTCTTGCGTGAATGCATTGATATTCCTATATTAGGCATCTGCTTTGGTCACCAGGCTTTAGGATACGTGCATGATGCTTAATTTGTACATAATATTAAGCGTAATGATTGTCAATTGTTCCATGAACTTCCTTCAGGAATGAATCCTGAATTTAAGGTAAATATTTTACCTTATCATTTATTAAGTTCTTGAAATTTTATAATTTGATTATAAATACAAGCAAGGACAATAAATTTTGATTAGAACTCTAATAGAGTTTGTAAGAAATTATAACCACCCGAAGTGGTAAAATTTCTATGTCTTGCCATGATCAAATTCATTTTTGATTGTGAGCACAAGAAGTGAAAACTCGTCCCGTTGAATTTGCTTCATTCTCGTTCTCTTAAGAGAGTGTGGTAGCAGTATGTGATAAGTCTGAACGAAGACAGTATTATTACCGTGAAGGTATCAATAGATGTGGACGTGGCAATAGATGAAATAATAATCGTCATCATTGTGGTACTGAGAACAATAAGGATTATCAAAATAATAATTCAAACGTTTGTTATCGATTTGATATGAGATTTTGTGAAGCATATATAGATGATTGTGATCCATTCATGATGTGATGTGACAATATCATGACAATATGGTAGTGAATATACCACTCACCTCTAGAAGGAGATTTGAGATGAAGTAAAAAATAAATTTCATTACTACTGTGTTAGACATTTTGACCTAAAATCAAAGATCTTGGACAAGAAAAAGTGTGAAAGATAACTTGCGTTACGTAGTTAAACCAGCAAGAAAATAATCACTATCATTTTTAGCTTCACGGTGGGCGCCAAACTGTTTACCGTGAAAATGGTAATTACAATTAAATTTGATTATGTGGTTCTAAAAATATGTGATCTATTTTTATGCTGGTTGTTAAACAATGGATGCTAAATAAAGGATTAGAAATCTAGGTTGCAGCTTAGAGAAGGTATGATAATCGAACCAAACAGTTGGAGATCGGGGCCTCGAGCTCGCTCATTCGGGGCCTCGAGGTCGAGTCCTATACTCTGCCGTGGGCAATCGATGGAGGGATTAACAATTATGATAGATCCAATGATGGCTCTTTATGGCCAATAAGCAATAAATAAAGAACAATAAATAGAACACAATGAATGTAAGAAATAAATGGAAGTAAAGAGCTTAAGAGAATATGTTAGAGAGCAGTTAGAATGATCTTGTGTATTTAGTATTGAGCAACAAATCCTTACAAAATGATAAGGATTCCCCTTTATATATAGGGGGGAGGGGGGAACACAGTACAAACGCATTAATTACAAAGATATGGTGCAGGTATAGCCACTTAATGTCCTGATACGGGTCAGAGCTAGCCCTCTAGACTTTATCAGCCCTAGTCGTGCCCCTAGGGAACTTCCCACTTTCCTACCTTAACTGTCGACTTGCACTGCCTCGAGGTTGGACACTGATGGCCCCTCGGGATAAATCTCGACCGTAGTCTTGAGCCTTCGGAAAGCTTGCTTACGAGGCGTTGTAATGGCCGAAAATTGGACCCTCCAATTTTACCGCATACAGTACTCACGACAAAAGACAAGAATCATCGGATCGGTCGACGGGAAAGAAGGATCTCAAGAATCTACGAGACCTAGAGTAAAGGGGTATGTGTATACGCCGAGGAAGCTAGCTTTGTGGTCTACTATGCTTTCCTCATGATTGGGGATCTCTACTAGCACTGCCCCTCCCCCCCCCCCCCCCCCCCCC